TTTTTTTTTTCATAAATTAGTTTCATAATGGTGATGGTTACACGGGGAAAAAAAAACTTTTAAATTCCCAAAACTATTTTCTAAAAGATATTCATTGATAAGATTGATCACCTGACAAATGAATTACGTGACCATTTGTGATTGCCGTCCAAAGTCCGTGTGACATATTCTAGAAAGGTAACCATAAATAACCAGACTTTCCGCGATGACCCGTTGATACCCCTCGCGTCATGTACTTTTTTTTTTGTTGCATCTCCGTTCCTGTAATCGACGAGCGAAAGTTTCGAGCGTCGCATCTATAATTGCTCTCCTGTACAACCCGAGCTCATCGTTAGCCTTGCAAATTACACGTTTTATCGGCTTTGTTTCGTCCAACATGACACAAGCGAACGGATAGGGAGATATTGAGTGCTCGGCAAAAGAGAAGCGAGATAAGGGTCTTTCCTTCCTGAAACGAGATTTTAGGAGGGATAATGATTACTCGGGGTAACCCGAGCACTTTGCCCTCAACGAGTATTGTACTAGAGAAGTAAATATTACAGGGGCAAAAAATTAAAGTCTCGGTATATATGCTGCGTACAGGTGGAGAAGTTGCGACCACTATAATACGTGTGTACGACGTGGATGTCGATCGATCTGATCATTTTTTATGACACGCTCAAGAGATAAGCATATATATGTTTCTAAAAGTGCTCGATCACTTTACTCGTTTGCTTGGAAATCTCCTTACATGTCAAGCAAACTAAGCGTATGCGTTTTTCAATGGATATTTTTTTTTTTTTTTTTCCAATACTCGAACATCGACATCGAGTGGTTCTCGTAAGAATTTAAGACGAGGCGAGAAATCCTGAAAAAAATATCGTCACTCATGCGCTCAATACACACACTCGTGGTACAAATGAACCTTTTACTCTCCGACCCGTTGCGTTTAGGGTCGATTTTTCCTTTTTTTTTTTTTTTTTTTTTTTTTTTCATCCTCGCCCCGATGATGACTTGCACCTAGCGAACAGAGGGCACCCGAAAAAACAACTATCAAACAGAGTAGGAGGAATAATCAATAAAATGCGCGTGGCACAAAAGAAAACAAAAGCCAAAAACAATGATCAAGCGTTAAAATTCTCGCACCTACCACTTGTACCCATCGCTCGGCAGTTAAACACAAATTGTTATTATTCCTCCTTGGAGCTAACTATTATATTCATCAAAAATTCATAAAAAAAAAAACTCCTGGCTTTATTATTTTCCATACCATTTGCCATATACTTGTCAGTCGCCTGATCACCGCCTCGTCCATCCGACACGTTAAGCGGAAAAACGATAGTATACCCGCTCAGCCGACGACTGCTTTTATATTTGCTTTTTTTTTTCAGTGCGCCCCACAAATAAATGTGTATACCTGCAGGGGATGTGGAATACGTTGAATCAAAACCATCGGGATTGCCCGAATTCTTTTTTTTTTTTTAATCCACCCCTTCCTCTCGCTCTTTGTATCTTTACCGAATACTAAAGGCTTTTTTTTTTTTATTTACCTTCGTGATTTCACGTGCATTATGCAACCTGCGTACATTTAAATTTTTGGCTGCCCGTTGTTTATTTCCAAACCAATAAAGCCAGATCGGATAAAGTTTTCCAAACGCCAAACGTATTGGTATACACAATACGCGTACATCCTCGTATGTATGAAGCCAACCAGAACAGCCAGTCGAGGTAAATTATATAAAATAGAACGCGCGCCTGAAATTTCGCTGCCGATTGTTTGCCGGAGCGTATGCGGTAAATACTCGGCTTACATAAGAGCACCGCGCGCCGATTGAGCTATACACGCGGGACTGTAAACGATTTGTTCACCTTTTTTTTCATACATATCTGAATATACGTATGTTTGCAGGTATGCACGGTTTATCAATGTTACTTTATTTATTGATAATAGTGATTATCAGTTTGCTAACAGTAAAGGGGGGAGAACAAAAAAAATTGTTTGTCAGGCTGTTTCCTTGAGATAAACGTTTGTCGGAAAGTTGAAAAATCTCAGGCTTGTATTTAATTTTTTTAATTGTTGCGTGCAATCCAAGAGGAAATTGCGCAAGAAAAAAAAAAAAAAAAAAAAAAACGTAAGTATCAGCCGTTGCTATCTCTCGCCAAGATCTCAGTTGACGCTTGAGCGCAGAACCCGCAACAGCTGCAGTGCGAGATTTTTCACGATAGTTTACCTTTTTTTTTCCTCATAGCTATACGAGCTGGTATTTTTCAATAATATTCATCGGACATTGATCAAAGTGTGTTTCGAGGCAAAATGAGGACCCGCAAGCTGCTCTTGTTGTTATTGGTCCCAACGTTGTTGTTTGCCGATCATTGCAGTTGTTACCGAATTCTGGGAATCTACCCGTTCGTCGGGAAAAGCCATTACATAATGATGAATCAATTGTTCAAGGGCATGGCACGCAAGGGCCACCAGGTCGACGTCATCACGCCTTTCCCGCAAACTGAAAATGTACCTAATTACACGCAAATCTTTCAATTTCCCGACAAAACCGCCGAAATCATAGGCCACTTGAACTACGATATCATCAAAGGATTTTCCCGCACCGGAAATCTTAGCTCTGTATTGGACATTGGCTACAAACTTTGCGAGTACATGGGCATGCCCGAATTTTTAAATTTGGCCCGCCATCCACCGAAAGACCCGCCCTACGACGTTGTCATAACTCAAGTAACTATATTTTACCTTTTTACACCGTGTCAATCCCGTGCAATCCATCGTGTGTCCATCCATCCGTCCACGATTGCGTAGGTGTTCAATAGTAATTGCTTCATGGTGCTGGGCCACCTGTGGAACGTGCCGGTGGTGCTGGTGAGCACCTCGGCGCTGTACCCGCACGTCCACGACATGATCGGCAACCCGGAAAACGTGGCGATTTCTCCCAACAACTTCAGCCCAGTTCCCCCAGGCGCAGGTGGCTTGTGGTGGCGCCTCTACAACGCCTACTTTTTCTACACCGTCAAATCCGCGTTTGTTTTCCACTCGAGGAACCAAAACGAACTGCTGCACAGGTACTTTGGCCCCCGGGTGCCCGACATACGGCAACTCGAGCGCAGCGCTTCGTTGCTGCTGGTGAACACGTACTTTCCCGTGAACGGCGTCAAACCCACGACGACCGGCCTCGTCGAGGTCGGCGGCCTCCACATACAAAACGACGGCCCAGAAATGACAGATGTAACGCAACGCCTTAGCATGTCATAATACACCTACGCAATGAATTGTCAAAATGTCTCGTAGGACCTGAAGCGTTGGCTCGACGAGAGCAAAGACGGGGTGGTGTACTTCTCCCTGGGCTCGATACTGCGGATCGAAATCTTCCCGGAGGAAACCGTGGCCGTGATCTTTGACTCCCTGGGACGACTCTCGCCCACTCGGGTGCTGATGCGCGTGGCCAATCCCGAAAGCCTGTCCGTCAAACTGCCCCCCAACTTTCGCACCCTGCCATGGATGCCCCAGGAGAAAATATTGCGTGAGAACTGCCAACCCGACACACTCCGCGCTCAACGCCACACCTAAGATATCCGTGTGTTTTTGTTTTGTTTCGCGCAGAACATCCCAGCGTCAGAGTGTTCGTCACGCACGGGGGCTTGTTGGGCACGCAGGAGTCGGTCTTTTACGGCGTCCCGATGCTCTGCCTACCCGTCCTCGCGGATCAGTGGACCAACACTCAGAATTACGTGCAGAAAAAAGTCGCCGTCTCAGCCGACATCATGTCACTCACCCAAGAAACCCGAGAAACGTTCGACGGTGCCGTCAACGAAGTATTGGGCAATCCCGTTTACAGGTAAGTGTGTGTGTGTGTGTTCTTTCGTTGCAAATTCATGGGTTGACGGGCGTGGGTCGTTGTAGGGATAACGTGCGGGAGTTGTCAAGGTTGTTTCGGGACCGGTCGCTGAGCCCAATGGACACGGCGGCCTTTTGGATCGAGTTCGTGGTGAGGAACGGAAAGGACGTGCTCAGATCACCAGCGATGGATTTGACCTGGTGGCAGCTCGACCTGTTGGACGTCCTTGCCGTCACAACAGCGGGACTATCCTTGATTTTGTTCGTCGCTGTTTTTACCATCAAAACGTTACTGCGGTGCTTACTCGGCAAATCGAGAACCAGTTGTGTATCGAAGCGCAAAAAAGAGTAGCTAAATATACATATGCATATATAATACTACACTTGTATCGTTTAATCATCATGCGATTCATCAATCCTGTCCACGTGGATTTTCCAATGTCAATTTTCGAAGTATGCATAACGTGGAAGTACTGATGTTGCCGTTGTTCCCCGGGAATTTCGCGTTATCGGCTCGGACGAGGTATTAAAACAAAAGATAATACCGAGGTGAAAAAAACAAAATAAAGTATTGCATTGAGATAAATGCGTGCAGTGGGTTTGACTGTGGTAGACGACAGTAGCTGGTTAACGCTACCGATCGATCTTGACTGCACGCCGTGTTCGAAAAGTGTCCCTTGTATAGTTAAAATAAATATGAATTTCTCAACGGTAGTTGTCTTGCTCGTCTGTTTATTGTGCACGTGCGATGCCTATCGCATACTTGCCGCTTTTCCCTTTCACGGGAGAAGCCACACGATCGTTTTGCAAGAGACTGCCAAGGCACTGGTGCGCAAGGGACACCAGGTCGACGTTATAAGTCACTATCCGTTGGAAAAACCCACGCGGAATTACAACGACATCGTGAAACTGAGGAGCAGCGAGGAGTACGCGTCGATAGATTACAAAACGATGATGTCGATGGACGAGGAGGACAAGTGGATCTACGACATATTGAAGGGCATCTGCGATCACCTCGGCAATCCGGAGGTGCAAAAGTTGGTCAAAGAACAGCAAAAACACAGGACTTACGACCTACTATTGGTTCACGTGAGTTTATCATTATTTCGTACTTAAAAAAACAGCCATCTCATGTACGTCTTTTATCTCGTATACGCAAGTATTTGTCGGGGTACCAGTGCTTCCCTGCGATTGGCCACCTCCTCGACATACCCGTGGTCGGAGTGGTCACCACGTCACTTTACCCGTGGATGCACGGCTTCGTAGGCGATCCCCTGAACTTGTGGCTCCACCCGAGCAACCTCAGACCCTGGAAAAACGAGGACCTGACATTTTGGGGCAAACTGTACAACGTCCTCGTCACCCATCGCGACATAAGCGAGCACTACAAGAACGCCGGTTTCCAGCAACGATACATCGATCGGTACTTGGGAAAGGGTCTGCCCGACTACCGCCAACTGGAAAGGAGAACCGCCATGATACTGACCAACTCTCATTACACGTATCACGGAATCAAGCCCAAAGCCCCGGCCGTCGTCGAGATAGGAGGGATACACATCAACAACGACACGACGGTGTCGATGGACTCGGTGAGTGCACTTTACGATGTCATATCTTATCGGCCAACGTATACGTTTATTTTGTAAATCTTTTGAAACTTTCCGCTCGTGCATAGAGTTTAAAGTCGTTCTTGGACGACAGCAAGGACGGCTTCGTGTACTTTTCCTTCGGGTCCATGGCGGTCGTCGAAACAATGCCCAAAGACTTGTTGGACAGGTTTTACGGGGTGTTTGGTAAAATAGCGCCAGTTCGAGTGGTCATGAGAGCCCCGAACCCACGAGCTTTGCCGAAACCCCTGCCCGGAAACACTCTGGTTCGCTCGTGGCTACCGCAGCAACAGATTTTTCGTAATCTCATAATATGTTTTACGCGATTCTCTGAAGCCCAACTTTGTCTCCAGTTGAGAACTTTTTTTCAGAGCATCCGAACATCAGAGCCTTCGTGACCCACGGGGGATCGCTGGGCACGCAGGAAGCTCTGCATTACGCGGTGCCCATGATATGCGTCCCATTGTTCGCCGAGCAGCACTTGAACTGCGACATTTTGGCCAACAAAAGGGTGGCTCGGAAATTGGAGCTGCGATCGGCTCGGCTGAGCGACTACGAGAGCGTTTTCCAAGACGTCTTGTCCAATTACCAGACGTACAAGTGAGCCCAAGTTTTTTTTCCTCGAGTGATCGATTGCGTGTCGTAACGAAATTACCTTTGCAGAACGACCACGGCGAGGTGCTCCAGGTTGTACCGCGATCGTCCGCGGTCGCCAGCGGATGAGTTGGTTTACTGGGTGGAGTACGTCATTCGTCACGGCAGAAACGCGCTGAGATCGCCGGCGGTCGATCTCACTTGGTGGCAAGTCGATCTCCTCGACGTGTACGCTTTTCTCGCCACGAGTTTATTGCTCGTTTCGAGCTTGGCGCTGTTTGCGCTTCGGAAATTGTTTGTTGTGTTTTTGCGCCCGAAGGGCACGGCCAACAAAGAGAAACGGCATTAGTGAACACTGGGTCATCGGGTATCTTTAATAATTTTTCCAAGAAAAAAAATGAAAATCAAAGTAAATATGATTATCGGGGTTGGCGTGGGTTATCTTATTTGATCCGAGTGAAGATAAAAGCGTTTTCTTTCGTTCGTTTCCTCTCGTTTGTAAGAGTTTTTAAATTCTCGGGTCACAAATTTGCGGGCAGCGATAAATTTTTCCTAATTGTTTCCGTTGGCTTTTTTTTTTTCCACCCCGACGAGATCGATATACTTCATCTTTGCTCGTTCCCATCACCTAACGAGATGCCGGCCTTTGGGGCGACCCCGTCGGGCCGAAGCGATCTAATTGGATCGAGGGAGCCCGGACTGTGATGTATTGAAATCGGACTCGCTCGACTGCACCGCCCAGCGGCAAATCAATCACACCATTGCCACCCTGATTTTCATAATGGATCCAATGTTAATTATTTCGGCACAGTGCAGTAAATAACAATTGCACCGATTCTCTATACTCGACTAAAATAATATATTGCACGCGTATACTTGCATGGCTCGCAATAAAAGCCATGTACAGTATTGTGGTGGGAAACCATGAAAAGACTCGTAAAACTTGAATGGCCAATGCCGAGTACAACAAATGTCAATGGGCCGATCATTATTTATGGAAATTTCATCAACATGCGTCTACAGTCCGCGAATTATTATTAGACTCGGTTTTACAAAAGCCTTACGCCACAATACATAATAAAAACTATTGATTACATTCAATAGATGCTAGATGAATACCAATTATACTCGAATGACTCAACTTTCGTGCGTTTATTTTAACTATTGTCACTGTCGCAGATACGCAATTTCATGCGAGTAGCACTTGGTGAATTTTTATTTAAAAATTACCGGGTCGTTATGGGTATACTTGCGTACAGAAATTTGTATTGAAATTATATTCGTCAGGTGCAACATAGCAATTTCAAAGTTCCAAGATGTACCCGTACCCAAACGGTGACTGGGACTTTTTTTTCAGAGTAAGCGAATAAAAAGAAAAGAAAAAAGAAAAAACTCGCAAGTTTACAAGTCCAAGGACAAAGAATCCAATTCGTATCGGCCGGAAACGACAGCCACGCCGCAACTTCTTCGCAAAACAAACAGCATCGAGTTACGGATGGAAAAACAGGGGAGGCGCAGCCGATAGCGATCACTTTTGCTTACAAACCGTACATGGCACGTTATATGCACGCGCTCGATACTTCATTACCGCGAACAATTAGCCGAAGGGACACCGTATTTTTCCAGAGCCACGCGTGACTATAGGCGCATGGAGTGGGTTGATTTTTTTTTGTTTATGAAAAAAGTGATCGGTGGATCGGTTAATCGATCGGTGATCGAGTGCGCTTATCTATCTATTGTTTCAAGCTGCTGGAAAGAATAGTGCACGCAAACATGAGAAAGAGAGGGTCGGCCATGTGTGGCTGTGGAAGATAAGCCTTTGGTTGGCTTTGTTGACTTAATTATGGAAAGGCGAGGCATTAATATTCCATTTCGAAAAAGCGAGTGGTCAAGGTGAGGTCTTTCGCGCGCTTCGTATTCAAACGGCTCTTTGTTGTGGGTAGCTTTATTGTTGGCTCACGCTTTGCGTCATATTGAAAGGATATAAGTACACGTGGGTTTATCGGGTGATAATGCAATGCTCACGTTTATATATAAAATATATGTATATGGGTGGTGCTCAAACGATCGATGGATTGACGCTTGATTTCTAAATCGACATTATAGTGCCTAATTTAACATTTGATTCGCGTCAAAGTTAATGATTAGGTGTTTCTTACATTCTAAACAATATCACTTGTTTTTTTTTTAATTATTATCAAAGGAATAAATCCATCAACATATTACACTGATATACTTGTTGATGGTTTATCATTTGGCAGCATTTCAATTTTTTTTTTTTTTTAACCCTTAAATAATGTCATTTTCCATTCTATCGAATCTTCCGATTGTCAAATCTACATTTAACCATGTGTAACTTATACGTTATTCCAATTCCCACTAAAACCCATAATTTATACCATCAACATTCAGTTAACTAAATATCCAAAGGAAAAAGGTCATCATTTTATTTGCTATTGTTGGCGTTTTGTTATTATAAGCTAACAAAAACTCGAACAAAAAACTTTGTAAAAGATGTACTTATTCTTTCTCTCGAAAAAATGTGTCTCTTCTAGAAAAAAAAAAAAAAAAAAAAAAAATCACGCACTACCCTTCGCAGTGCACAACAGCATAGGTCGCTGTCTAGCGGTAAGAGTCGGGCTCCTCAAAGTGGGCAATTAAATTAAGCGCAATTAGGCGAAACTCGTTGCGATAACGAATTTCAGCGTCAAGGAAGCGCGTATAGGAATGCGCAACAAAAGGACGCGCTGAGTTACCGTCACTGTTGTGTTTTCTCGAAAGCTTAAACAATCGCGTCGCAAGCTCGCTCTGTCTTCCCCGTACCGTTTGCCCTTTAAACTTTTGTGCAAAATATGCCAAGCTTGGAAATTTTTCATGCGTTTTTGGATGAATATTTAATATTTGGTGCCAGCCATTACGTACGAATGATCAACCCTTGCACAGCAATTCATCCGACAAAAAATAATGTATCAAATTGTACGGTTGAGAAGTATATGAAACTGCGGCAAAACAAAAATTACTCCTTCCACCCAGTGGATTTAAAAGAAGACGAATGAACGAAGAAACGCCCTCTAATAGCTATTAAACACATGCATAACTATACGAGTGTCGTTTGATGTGTCACGCGTGTGTACATAATACACACAAGTATACACCTCCACCTGCTGCTGAAGTGGCGTGCTAATGCCCAAAGTGTGCATCCCTATAATACGTGTATACACCACTCCCCCAAACCCCGCAGAGTTTCCCCTTTCCAAAACCCTCCTTTATTCCAGTATAATCACGTTTGCCACGTCCGACCAAGCCGCGCGACCGCAGCAGGTGCATAAGCTCCGCTGGATATAGTTTGACGGCGCTTAAACGCGTGCACGCGGCCCCTCTCTCTGCGCGCAACCTTGCTCACCTCGCACCCCCTAAACCCCATCCCGCCACCCGAAAAGTAGTTTGGAGTAATTAGAGGTCGAGTGTTTGGAGGGAAGTTGGCGCGGATCGGGGAGGATCCATTGTTTGTTGACTTTGAGCGTGTCGGGTGTATATGTACACCTATACACTTTGTGTCTCGTTTCTTATTGGGATATGCTTTTGCAGTGTGCACTTTGGGCGCAAAGTTTCATCCAAGAGCCGGAAGCTCCGGAACGGCCATTACGATGATAATTTCTCGTGGGCTTGCCGTACGAGTGCCATTTTTAACTATATAGGCTGGTGCAGCGCGATGAACGCGTCGAGGTAAAAAAAAACAACTCACCGCGAGGAATTGAATTTTCGCGTCAAGGATCCGACGGAGAGCGAGATGTGTGACGTCATCGTTTGGCTGGTGGATGAATATTATCAACTGTACGAGCGCAATCGCGATGGTGACTGGCACTTTTCCAAACAGTTGGGCCACGGACATCCCCGTGACGCCACTCGTGCGTGGTTTCAAAAATAATGTGTTACGCCTCGTGCGAGGCATCCGAATAATCAAAAACAACAAATTCAGCCACCCGCGTCCGTTGCTCGAAAAAAAAAAAAGAGCCTCCGCGTGAATCACACTTGCTAGCAAAGAGCTCATCTGTTCCAAGTACGTTCCACAAGCGTTCCTCGCTCTCGGCAATAACACGGCTGGCTAAAAGCCACGCTGGATTTTCCTCCCCCATCCCCGGGAAGGGGGAGCTCCGGGGGGGGTGGTGTATTGCCTAATGCCCCGTGGCTGTGGGGTCACGTATCCGCCTGAACTAGCTCGTGGGAAATGGAACAGCCAAGGTGACAGCCAACTTCTCCGATGCGGCAGTATATAAGATTCGGCCTGCAGGGCTTTCGATTTGTCACATAATGTTCGAGGTTGTGTAGGTACGTTAGTGATGAGTTTTTTTTTTTTTTTTTTTTTTTTCAACACTATGGTCACGCACACGACCTTTATTTGCCAAACATTTTTATCAACTCGTAAAGTAAAATGGTAACAATGCGTGTCCATCGTGAAATTCAATGAAGAGATCAGAGCTCGAAAAATGCCAAAGGAGCTTGCGGAAAGCTCAGGTATCAGATGGCAGCCAGCGGCATGAAAATAAAGCTGGTGGTGTACGACTTTCGTGTACTCTTTTTTTTTTTTTTTTTTTTTTCTCAAAAGCTCGAAACATTTTGGCAACTTTTACAAAAGGTGTCGTGTACGGTACACGAAAAAAAAGTTCATGTTCGCTTGATTCAACTATAATTTGAACTTCATGTTTGTTAGTTGTAATTTTTTTAAATATCACGATGTTTGTGTGTCTTATGCGAATTTATATTTAAAAAAAAGCGGATGCTAAAGTTCAAGCTTCAACCGTTCTACGAATAAAACCTTTCCAAAAAAGCCCACCCTTTAGCCATACCCAACACGAAAAGCTTGCAACTCGTCACTACGACGTATCCGAGTTTTCGCGTCATTTCGCACAAGTATTACCTTTGCTCAAGAGCACACTTGTTCGAACATCGATGTACGGTCTATATATGTAGCCATTGGAGTATAACGGTTCCCTTAGTTTTGTACGCACCGTAAATAAGCGTGTATACATAGGGAGTTCGTCGAGAAGAGGGGACACGATGCTTTTACGCAGCTACGCACTTTTTCCCTCTGAAATTTCCGGCAGGCAAATAAAACTTCGAATCGATCGTATATATGCGCGTAAGCTCGAGCCCAAATACGAATTCGCGTCCAAGTTTATTTTCGTACCAAGGGCTGTGTTTCGGATGCTGCAAGGTCTTTGGTGAGTTCTTTTTTATTTTTTTTAATTTTTTATTTTTTAGGTGCGGGAATTGGAAAATGTACTTTGCGACCGATGTTTCTTTGTTTTTCCACGGTGGGCTACAGGAACTGCTTTTTTTCCAAAAGAGGCTCGTTACCTTTTTTCTTTTTATCCTACATTCGCGTGATACGAGCTACAATCGGATACACCCTTCCCTGTGTTCTGTAACTCTCTTTTTTCTTCCCCACTTGAGGGAGTGCGTGCGAGGGCTACACGACACGTCTTGGCGAAATTTATTGTATAGAGTATACCTATACTTACTTCGGCCCGAGAGGCTCTTACCGCAAGACTTGGGGCGGGAAAATAAAAAAAGGACGTGGACCGCCGACGTAGAAAATAATCCGGTGTTTTCAAAGCAAGAAGAATACTTATGCAATTCTATCTCGAAAGAAGAAAATTTCACTCCAACGAGAGAGGGAGAGGGAGGAAAAAAAAAAAACGCCCGTACGTATTCGGATAATAACTGACCTGGCGGCAGAGTTGCGTTGGCCTGCTCCCCGAGGCATTTTTGCTGAAGCTCGAGCTGTAGCTGGCGCAGCTCGTCCTCCTGTAGCGTACTGCCCGCCATGGTGGTGTTGCTCGGCATCTGCGGGAAATCAGAAAAGAAAACGTTTGTTTTTTTTTTTTTTTTTTGCCTTCTTTTTCTTCTTACATCGAGAAAAGCATACATCCAGACGTCCCGGAAACGGATAAATTAATTATTCTTTTTTATACGTGTGAGTCACGAAGATGAAGTTCTCAACGAAATAATATCATGGAAAGGCCGAAGGACCTGTAACTAAATATAACCGGTTTGAGCTCCCAATGGTCACCCTTTATAACTCCACCGATCCTTTTTTTAACTTATCATTGCACCTCACTTACTACATCCCATATCCCGACTTGAAATAACATTTCATAGTCATCATAGATTCAACGTGTACCAAGTTATCACTCGAAAAAGTTAAAAATAAAATCCCTACATGTTTTTCCGCCGAACCAAGGTAATAGATCAACTCGCCAGTGGGCAAATATTTATACACTCGTTGGACGTTTTATGTCCAACTGATCCATCTCTTTCTACCGTTGAATGGACGGCTTCTCTAAAAAGCTTTAAAACGCATCGAGTCCTATACATAAATGCCACAAATACGTACACAAGAAAGAAAGTCAATTTGCCCGAGTTGCTTTACGGAGGGTGATGGTTTGTGGGTCTTTTGAGGGCCAAGGCAAAAAAAACACGTGAGTTGGACAAAAACGAATTTAATATATAGTTGGACTAAAGTAAATTCGTCTCCAGATTTTTTGGTTTTTGTTGCGTGTTACTTAGGTATGGAGTTTTGTTATTGAAGTGAAGCTGGAAAAGTTGGACGCTCGTAA